TAATTCGGAAATAAAACAGGGACTAATCATCTTAATCAATTGTTAACTATAAAAGACAATGACGACATCGTGAAAACCCACAAACATTCCTATAAATAAACTGGTTTTTTTATACTCCAGCGCAAAAAACATTTGCTATACAATTGTAGAGGGTATTATAAATTTGCCACGATATGTGTTAAGCATAGAAGAAGACGTCATTCAGCTCATATACATATATATTTATTATTGATCAGTTTCAATAGCCGAGTTGATATTTCTTGCTGTTCCTTTCTTTGAGTAGCTTAACTTAATTAGACGTTAATTATGCTTTATAATGTTTTTTACACACGATCATAATCTTATCAACCTCGAAACACTTCATCAGATAGGAGGAAAATTCTGTTGTTCAAGGTATTTCAACATATCGTACAGTTAATAACTAGTTTCATTTAATAATAAAAGCAGGCACACTTCGTGCCTTACACGTGCCACAAAAAACTTCACTCAGCAGCTTCTATTAAAATTGTATTAATATAAAATTTAAATATTTACAATTATAATATGCATCACTTTGCATTTGTTGTCGACGCCGTTTACAGCAAGCTATACAATTTATACAACAACCGGAGACCATTAAAACCACAACTAAAATCGCAAATGCGATAAAAACTCTTTCGCCCGTTGTGCCAGGAAATCTTTCGGGCTTATTATCATGATTCATATTGAATAAACCCGGGTATTCATAAGGAGTGTTAAATAAATCTGGCATTCTGTACGATCCAAACACTGCCGGAGATGAAAATCAAACGCTTTTTAATTGCACGACGCGACAATTGCAACTGAGACAAGATCTGCTTGCAAATCGCACTTATAGGTAAGTCAGGTGGGATTTCATAAAATTGGAAATGCCCCAGCTGTGAGCTAGAGTGTCATAGACGAAGCCACAGTTGATGCGGGAAATTCTTTTTTCGAAATTCATTGAGTATAAGTAAAACAATTTCTTTACATAATGCAATAAGCCGCAAGAGGCAGAGAAAAACAAACTTTGAGCTAGCTTATAATTCTCAAATGGTTTTAGTTTAAATTCAAATACATAAAGAGCAACAAAATTAGCTGACTTTGGATAAAGAAGATGAATAACAAAGAGGAGCAAAGAAAACAGAGTAAATAAACATGCAGTGAATACAGATGAGCATTTTTCGGTCAATTATTAATTATAATTAAATATATTTATTAAAATTATATTCGAGCGCAAATGCAAATTAATCTTAAACGAAGCCTAAGACACACAGGTATCAAAACATGAATATATTTTTTAAGTTTTCCATTGGAATGTCAATATATTAAAAATATGTAAAATATATTTATACAAAATGAAATAAATGCTAAAGCACATGACATTCATATTCAAACGATTAGTGTTCCATTAGTAGGTTGTGCTTTAAATATTACTCGATAAAGTTCTTGGCAGGGCACACAAAACAAAATTGTATATATAATTAAATAAATAACACTCGATAGATGGTTTTGCAGTGTTCAATCGCAGCAATCAAACAAATCGCAACAAGTACAGCAATCATCCGAAGAAACGGAATTCACAGCACGAAGCACATCATTTGAATCGTATAAAGCCAAGTCACCTGCTTCCAAAGCTGTAAAATTGACAAACATCAGTGGAAAATCTACTTAGGGAGAAGAAACATCGTTTCATATCTATTGTTTTTTATACTTCACATTTTCTCCAGGTTCAAAAACGAAAATCACATTCGCAAAACTATGTTCGGCATGGAAAACCATATTTTAAGAGTTTGACTTTTCCAGTTTAGATATCTGCATATTTTTTTTTTGTTTAAAAGCAACAGAACTGCAAACTAGGCCAAAAATATTAGGTGCAATGCGATTCTCACTATTTTGGCTTGTTCCCAATTCCAATTGCATATTATTTTCACTCCGGGCTTTGGAGTTTATTTTAGACCTAGCATTTGCCTGTTGCTTGTACATAAAACTGCATTAATTATAGACAAGCCCGTGACGAGGTCGTGAGCGTCCACAAAACATTCATACACTAGAACAAATGCAAACTGGTTATTCGCAGCACGTTTTTCACTAGACGCTCAGCTGAAAGTTTTCGCTTGCAGTTCACAAATCGTTTTTTATAGAGTTTTGCTAAAATAAAGTAAATATATTTACTAGTTTCAAATGCATCTTGTCGCTTTTGCTCTGATTCGCGGCGATTACAAGTATAACAACAGCTTAAATAACAGGCATACACTATATAGGACAACATAAAGACAAATACACCCAGTAAAGCTGCGATTCCCAAATTCTTTGAAAAGGAATCATCTGCAGTTAAAGATCTAGCAGAGGCTAAATCTGACATTCTAATAGAACGAGAGTAAAACAAACTCAATGCGTCTGACTTTAACAACCTGACGACTGCAACTGCAACAAGAGCTTGTTGCAATTCAACTCAAACGAATAGTCAACAGAGGCGTTATATACACATATCTGACAACATGATAGAACTATGCGCTCTCCGCGCTAAATAAATAAATAAAGAAAAACCCCAATGCCAAACTGACGACTGCAACGGAGAGCTGATTGAAATTCCACTCAAACGAGCCGCATGTGAGCATTTTTCAATTGACGCTCCCCGCGCTGTTTGTCTATGAGTCATACATGGGTTCAGATAGTCACAGATTATGGCTAAACAATTATTAAGAAAATTTATAACTAATTTTAAATTTATAATAAACGACAAAGTGCAAGACAATTACAGTAAGATCAGCGGGGACTCTTAAAATTCTTAAGCGGTTCACGCTTAGACCTAATGAAAGTGTTTGCTAAACAATCGACTCACAGTCGAAGATAACATGGGAAGTTGGAATTAGATGCTAATCCAGAATATATATACTTTATGGGGTCGTATATGGTTCCTTCTGTTTGTTAGGTTAAGGCTATAACAACAAAGTTGTTTATAAAGGCAACTTGTTTAGTCAGCACAACCATTCCAAACTGTGCGTTTACATACAGACGATACTGTGTTTATTTTAAATATCGCCTTTCTACGCGATTTTCATACGCTCACGCAAGCATAGACTTTTTAAATATTTGCTTATTAAATAAAACAAATATAAACTGTATATAAAAAACCTAGCTGTTTATTGTTTATTTGGCTTTTCTTTGTTATTTTACTTATTTATTTGATTGATTATTTATTTATACAGCCTCAGCTTAGATCACACTACTCACCGGCCTGTCGAAAGAGTTGAACATACATTTTGGCTAGAAAGCAACAGCGTATAAAGTGAATGGTTGCGACTATAAAACCGGCAATGAGTATTAACACGGTCAATGGCAAAAAAGCCAGCCAATCCATTCTACACTTGGACAAATCTCATTATCTATCCGTTCAGCACGCAACGAAATCACAAATGCAAATGATTTGCAGGCCAACAATCGCAATGCCATCGACCGCTCTGGAACTGAGCCAAGCAAAAGGAAAAAAGAAAAGCGTAGAGCGAAAAGAAAAACAGCTGCTGATAAGAAACAATGCAACGCGATAGATAGAAAATAAATGCGAAAATCAAAAACAGTTGCTGCTAGCACCGAGGATAAGCGCCAGGACCTGTTGCTCGATTCTCTATAAATAGTAGCATGCTTTTCAGCTGCAAAAACGGAAGGCGCATATATATATTTTTAGATACCATCTTGTGAATGTGAGTGTGAATGAGTGTGTGTGTGTGTGTGCGTGCGGATAACTGGTTTAACTGTCATTTGAAGAGGTTATCAACGTCAGCCCCTTCCCCCACGGGAACATTTTTCACAGAAATCGCCTTCAACTTTAATCAGTTATAAGCTCTCATTATTTGCACAGACAAACAGTTGCGACATGCAACTAAAGACTTATGCAAGCACCGGGCATAATCATAAATAAAAGCAAATCCATAATAATAAATAAATAAACCAAATAGCTCTAAAGAGGGCGGGTACTCGACTGGCAGATATTGTGTGCACTTAAAGCGGCGACAGCTAAGCGCTGCGCTTTATATTACAAATTAATCATATAATAATCATATATTATTGGAATATACGATGTATATACTTTAAATATATTTGCAGTGCATAATCCACGAAAAAAAGAATTGAATCAGGAAACTATCAAATACATTTTTACAAGCTAAGAGATATGCTCAAAAAATGGGATTACAATATCAATTTTTATCGATTACATGGGAATGGGGCAAGTTATCGATTATCGGAAAAAACTCGTGCCCGCACAGCACTAGAACCTACGTTCCGACAGACGGACATGGCTGTTGATGCTAATCAGGAATATATATGTATACTTTATGGAATCGGAAATGCCTCCTTCTGCCTGTTACATGCATTTGCACAAATTCACAAGGGGGTCTCCCTTTACCCATTTTCAATGGGTTCAGGGTATAAACACAAAAGTTTCAGATCAATTTCAACAATTGACTAGGACAAATAAGAGTGTATCGTATTTAGATTGGTACAATTTAGCTGCGTTTTTTAAGGTTACAGGTTACCAAGCTTATATCATGATATATTGTCATATTGTTTATAATAATTATATTTTAATTTTATTATTTAACATATTATCAATATCATAGATTCAAATTCAACTCAATTTTTCTTTATACATTTTTGAAATATTGAATAATTAATAAAATTATAATAAAATAATGAAAATGTTAAAAATAAATATGAATAAAACATATAAATATCTTTATAAAAATATCTTTGAAATTTTACACGTTTTTATAAATTAAACATTCGTTAGTTTGGTAGTATAGCATTTTATTTAATTAAATAAGTGCATACATATTTACATACATATACATACAAATAAGTGCTTTCATTATATATTATTATATATAAAATAATATATTCAATTTCTTATTAAATTATTAAAAATCACATTTTTCAATAATTAAATTCGATGAACTGCAGAATAAAAATAAAAAACAAGCAATTCACAGTTGTCTGTTTTTTTTTCTTCTTAAAATAAGTCTGTTTTAAGCAGTTCAAAACTTAAAGTTTAAAAACTTTGCAGGCATATGAGGTTTTGTTGGAACTTGTTTAAGTCTTATGTATTCCTGAGATAACAATTTAAAAAAATTTTCCATAATTTTTTAAACAATTGTTGGCACAATATTAATTTTTTTTAAAACAATTTATGGCACTTTTGTGTGCATAAAAATGTACATATTGAATATGAAAATGTTTTAAATATATATAAGTATATATATTTAAAATATTTCAATTCTGATTAGGTTCAAGATTGAAACTTTTCCGTTAATAAATGTTGTATGTTCTGTTGTAAATAAATGGCAGGTCTCTGTATTTTATATACAAATAAAAATATATGGAATATTTGATCATTTTTCTGGCATTTTTTCTATGTTCTTAGAAAATGTGTTTGGCATGGAAATCTGGCAATGGTTGAAGTTGCTTAAGTGCAATAATATACATCAGACTGATGTTATATAAATACATTTGTAAATGCATTATGTTATATTTGGAAATAATTCGAGTATATATTATATTTGAGTAAATAAGTCACATAATATCCTTTAATAGATGCAGGTTTCAAAGACAACACTCAACCGTATCATCAGATCCACCAAAGTAACAATCCTCACAAGCGCCGTCAACAGATGCCACATCGGTTGCAACATCTAAAGCTATGAGAGCTGCTTCTGGGGCTGTAAAATTGATGAACATCAATTGAAAGTTTCCTTTACGAGAAAATACATAAATAATGCAAGCAAGAAGCTTGGCCAGACACTTCTCTCTTCACGGGTGAGGCATTAAATTCAATGGGCTTAACGTGAGCACCTGCCACGAAGGCTTAATCTCACGGTTCCTATAATAGGATTAATTTAAGCGTCAATCAGCGCCCCCTTGAATTGAAGACACAATTGTTTGGTTGGGTCTTCTACCTTAGTTTGGCAGGAGATTTATCTTAAACCTTTTCCGATCTATGAATCACGGCAACCGGCTGTATAACGCAACTCCACGTCGAGCAAGTGATCTACCCTCATTTGGGTGTTAAACCAGAACCACCACGGAAATCCCAGAAGGGCCGCAACCAATAACCAGGACGGAACAAGTTCTGCGGGCTCCTGAATATGCGTGGTACCAGATTATGAACTTCTGGTTCATACGCTATGATCATGGACATGGTTTTCTCACTGAGAGGTGCGAGGCCTATTCCTTCCTCTTTCGCACCGGGTGGGGCAGCAAAAAAGGAGCTCCCACTCGTGGACACCACGTAGACACCCGTGAACGACTGCTCCCGTCGCCAATTTACTGATATTTTGGATGTTGAAAATCTCTTTGAGAATTTGCACTACGTTCACATTATAAAAACACCACAATATGTATTAATCATAGATTTAAATAGTTCACTTTCACGAACAAAACACAAAGGTAATAAACGAATAAAATCTTTTCAGCATATCAATAAAAAAAATATTTGTTGAAGGTTCACAAATATTTATTTAACAAAAGAAACCGAGAATTCGAATCGTAAGCTAGTCTAAAATTAATAATATGACAGCACTGAACTAATAGACCTTTTTTTTTTGGCGGATAAACAAATTACAGATCAGTCGTATACTAACAATTATCGATAAGGTAACCAGATCGTTGTTTACGCTTCTGAGAGATGTTCCGTACGATGATCGTCAGAATGGCCACGAGAACAATGACAAACAGGCAGATGAGGACTATTGTAGAGATTTCCAGATCCTTCTCGTTGGGCTCGTGCGCCATTTTGTCTTTGTTTTTGTTTTTATTTATTTAAATAAATACTTTTAAAACTATAAATTCGATTTTTTTGGCATTTGATACAGTGTTAAAATGTCCACTTTGGGGGCTACGCGTTGTGCATTTCTTTAAGGCTTGGCGGTAAATAATGCCGCATGCGTGCTTATGGCTGGTTTTAAGGCATTCGCTTGTTAACTGGGCTTGAAGCAACACGGCCAGAAGAGCGACGCGTTTATCAGATAAGATATGGCAAGCCAAGTAGACGCTTGTGACGTCACGGCTTATAAAAACGAAATGAAAAATAAAACTGATTATGGAACCGATTCACAAACCAATACGCAGTAGACTATAAAATACTAAAGTGGACACACAGAATTTACAACAGCGTTTTGCGTCAATCGACCAACGATTATATTATGCCCAACTTTACTTTTCCATTTGACCAAAAAAAATTTCAGCCAATTAGATTCCTTAATGGAATCTATTTGAATTGAAACCTTGACCATCTCGTATCGCCAGCGATAATCATTATTATTTATGTGGATTACCACAATAAAAGCAAAAAAAAATCGCGGCGTCTACTGACGTCAACGGTGATTAACATAAGTACATAATTAATCAATTACACGTATCGAGAAAAATCAAAGCACAGGAAATGGAAATGGGGAAGAAATAAATTTAAAGAAAAACTAGTAATAAATGTCAATCAGTGTGCGCTAAATTGAAGTTATATCAATTTATTCAATTCAAAAAGGATTTATTATTATACAAATAAAAAGCCCTATACCAAGCTTTGTGAATGTATGTTTAGTGGGTTAGTTCAAAGACAAGCAGCAAAGAAATATGTTTTAGAGAATTAGAAATTAGATATATTGATTTTAACCTTGCAAAGGTTATTCAGGAATTGAACTCAATTATTATGCGGATAATAAGAGAAACGAGAAAGTTAGGATGCAGCATGCCGAAGATTACGGGAAAGTAAGAATATCTTCGGTACACCGAAGATTTAATACCCTTGCCGACATTTGCCTTACAGCTTTACAGATAAGTATGTAAGATTAGTGAAGCTGGAAATGCTGAGTTTGATGAAAAAATATCAGAATATAGAATATTATGCCATACAAAAAGTATTTTTTCTACCGATTCTTCCTATAGAGCTTTATAATATAGTAGTGCAATAATGATAAGATGTGGCTCATATATAATCAGCATAGTTGTGCTTATAAATGCCGAGTTTGGTGAAGACATCTTGATAAAAGAAAAAGTTAACCATACAAGAAGTAAGTATAGTATTCCGATGTGAATAAGATTTGGTATATATTTATGAGTAGCATATAAGTGCGCAGTTTGGTCAAGATTCTTGATAAAGTTTTCCGTACATATACCTACTTTCGGACCGATCGATCCTATGGCAGCTATATGATATAGTGGTGCGATCTTGATAAGATTTTACATATATATGAGAAGCACTGTGAAACCTTTAAATGACGAGTTTTGTGAAGATATCTTGAAAGTTTTTCATACAAAAAATTAAATTTCGAACGATCGTTCCTTTTACAGCTACATGATATAGTAGTCCGATCCGGCCGGTTCCAACATATGTACTCCGTGCAACAGAAAGAGGGACTTATGCAAAGTTTCAAGAAGAAAGCTTTAAGACTGAGAGACTAGTTCGCATGGAAACAGACAGACGACAAGACGGACGATCGGACGAATATATATCAAACATAAAGCAAAAACAAAGATCTGTATTTATAAAGAACTCTACTGTCAATTCCATAATATATATTAATTTTAACCTTGTGAAGGGTATTCAAGAATTGAACGCAATTATTATGTGAATAATAAAAGACCAAAGTCAAGTGCGTGCCAATTATCATAATGAAATCTAAGTATAAGCTTGTGATTAGCATTATTTGGACATCAAATTAATTGCAATACTTAAAAAAGCACAAAAGTCTTTTCGCATGAATTCTATATTTAAAGGGAGCCAAACCGATTTGCCAGCAAGTGGCGTTATTTCGATCTTGAGATTCAGACCTAGACTGACGTCAATCTACGAGCTGGGTGAAAAGTAATACAATTTTAATGTGAAATTGGACACAAAATACATGAGTGTCAGTGATTATAAGTTAATAATCTGAATAGCAATGCAAATGACAAGAATTATTTATGTCATGTCAACGATAAGATTTCAACGTATTCCAAATTGTGTTCACCGAAACTTCAAAAGCTCACGCTATCTTCGAGCTTTCAATCGAGCTTTTTACTTTACTAGGCTGTTCGCTTACCGCCAGTGATCACTGTAGCTGCCTGCAAGCGAATGCGACGCGTCTGAACTATCCGCAATACAACAATCAACAGACACACACAGAATAAGACCAAGATTGGTATCCAAACTGCGCAATATATGAAAACCATGCTGAAAAACTCAGAAGGGAAGATTTGAACCCGAGCCCGACCTTTAAAGTGTTCGAATGTTTCGCGTAAACTGAGGAGTATTCTTCACATTTAACTTATGCTTCATATTCAATTTGAATTTATCTATAACAAAGAAAAAAGACAACTAGACAATAGCAAAAAAAAAAACCCTATAAAATTTGTTATCTAAAATTGTAAATATATAAATATAGAGCTGCCCTATAATTCTCGCTGCATATGGCCAATGATAAGCAGCGGAATAACATAGTAATAATTTATAACTTATATTGATTTCCACTTGATCACGTACTTCCAAATCGTATTTGTATTATTATTAACTGAGCAGTTGCTTAGAAGGGGGCATAAAAAAATGGTTATGTGAAAATTTAACTTGAATTTATTAGGAAAATATTTGTAGTTTTATCAACATAATGTAATTTGCGATGGAGACATTCCGAAGGATATATTATCTTTTTCTTTAAAGAGCGTCGAAGGAAGAAATCCGAAAGTTTTGATAATAATATTGGATAAAGATATATTCAATATTACCAATATTACTCATCAAATAATGTTATCTTTTTTTTCAAAGGGCGTAGAATAAAGAAAGCAGAAATACTTCAACATGATTGTCGTATAAAGATATGCCGATTATTATCATATGTTTCCCATCAAATAATATTCAAATAAATACTTAAATTTTTATTATAATAGTTGGATTTCTTTTTTAATAAAATAATAAACATAGAAGCTGAACTCCGAGGCGACCAAGAGATAAACTAAGCTAACCAAAAAGATTCACTTATTAGCAGGCAATTTCTAGGGTATAACCGAAAGCTTAGACTAAACTCAAGCTGATTTTTAGCGCTTATCAGGAAATTCATTCAGAAGAAGGGAAGCCAGCAAAGTATATAAATATAGTATATAAAATATAAATATATTAGGCATTATAAGTTATATTATATAGATGTTATATTCTTAGATTGTCGGAGCTTAGTTTTATGAATCACAGAATTGTGTCCATAATAATTTACCTTTACCCTATGATATGGTTTAAAAAGGCTGGAATAAGTCAAAGGGATTAGAATGTGTTGGGGTAAAGGAATTTAGGGTCTGTCGTGTAGACCCCGGAGGAATTAAGGCTCTGTCGTGTAGACCCTATGCCCTCTGATAGAGCAGAACTGCCTAGTACAACATACATATTTCAATTATAAGTCTAATCATACCGAAAACATTTTTACTATACTATATTATTCTTTGTATGCATAGACCCAAAATTGTTTAAAAAGTATTTGAGTTGCACTTTTGATATTTCAGATGCAGTTTAGAGTAACTAAAATGCGGCAAAATAGATTTCATTGGCAATGTCAGGCGTCAGGATGACAGCCAAACTAAAACCGTAAGATAAGATAAAAATCAATAATTAGATAATTGCCCGTTTGCCTGGTGATAGCGATATGTGTCTATATACTAAATAAACATTTATATGAATAATTTCATATATTAATAGACATATTTATTTGTATCAGCCATATATCGATAACAATTTAAGGCAAACAACTGTCAGAAGGTTTTGTTTACGAAAGAGCGTGTTAAAGAAAATGCGTGAATAAAAAAAAACAAAAAGTCATAAAGTATGAGTAAACGTGATCAAAGAGTAAAAGAATTAATTGAACTTGACGTTCAAGTATTGCAAGCAATATGCACAGCTTTATTAAAAAGAAAATATTATTAGTCACGAAGTTATTAAAGTGCGAATATGATATGAGTATATACATATGTGTGTGTGGGCATTTTTGCATATGTGTACTTCCCCCGACAAAAGCCCGGACGTGAGTCATAGCGACGATTGGATTAGGGGAAAATTGGATTATCTGAAATAATACACTTACTTGAGAGCACAGTGCCGCGACGTTTGCTCGTGCAACAATAGCCACAGCAGCTCATGACGAGGAACGTCAATAGGAAGAACATAAAAATGCCCCAGAAATCCATCGCAAAATCGTCCCAATCGTCGAAATCGTCCAAGCTATCCACTAGAAAATTGAGCAAATGTCTATTAATTGAATCACGAATCGCAATTGCATGCGAACTCACGTTTAATGCCTTATTGTGAGCACAACAGGCGGTTTTGGCAAATATTGTTTTTAATAAATAATTAGTTAGCTTCCACTTGTTGCAGTTGTTTCGATTGCGTTCGACGCACTGTACAGTAATTCACACACGTGTAAGCTTACAAAACGTAGCGCACGGCTATCGCGTACAAAAGCACGACGAGTTGCTTTAATTAAATCAACTATATAATACGCGTTATCTTATCAAAAGGGAAAACGATTACTAATCTTAACTCCTCGTCGTCGGTTAGCAGCGCAGTGTGACGTTTCGCAGCACTGCACAATGGCGCTGTGTTTAATGCGCACAAGAACAGCTGTTGCCTACCGATAGCTGTTGGGCACATCGTCGCGCACATAAAGCGGAATAGTTTGAGCGAATAGAAAGAAACCTAAGCAATTACAGGTTTAAACTTATTTAAATTTGAATTTGTGCGTATTCTTAAGGGCGAAACACCAAACAACATACCGTTTTATTGGAATTTGTGCATGTTATCGATAGCAAACACCGAGTTTAGTGTTTGTTAACAGTACTATACACTTATACATACTGCTTTGCCATTTTTATCATGGCGATTTCTTTTTGACATTTGACTACAACTGGGCGCACGTGTTTTTCGGGCTAAGCTCTGTGCTAAATTATAGTAAAATCAAAGTAATTTCAACATCAAATTTCAATATACACAAACTCAAATTAATCCCAACTTAAAAATTGCTTCATTTTTGGCTATTGTGCGTGCTGCGTGTGTCTTACAGAATGAATCCAGAGAAGCTTAAGAAATTGCAGGCGCAGGTGCGCATTGGCGGCAAGGGTACCCCACGCCGCAAGAAGAAGATTGTGCACTCGACCCCGGCAACCGACGACAAGAAGTTGCAATCATCGTTGAAAAAACTTTCGGTCAATACCATACCCGGTATTGAGGAAGTGAACATTATCAAAAATGACGGCACCGTCATCCATTTTAACAATCCGAAGGCGCAGGCATCGCTGCCAACGAACACGTTCGCCATAACCGGTCATGGCGAGAACAAGACGATCTCGGAAATGCTGCCCGGCATATTGACGCAATTGGGTCCCCAGGACATCAATCAGCTGAAGAAGATCGCATCAGAGATTGCCAATAAGAGCAGTGCTGCTGGTGGTGCTGCTGCCGGCGCCGCTGCTGCGGATGCTGGCGATGATGATGTACCCGATCTGGTCGAGAACTTTGAGGAGGTGGCCATTGCCGGTGCCAGTGCTGAGCAGGCCAAGAAATCTGGTGAAGTTGCGGCATCTGCCTAAACCACAACCAAACCCAAAACACAAACACACACACATTAAAAAGAAAACACACATACAAACGAACAGAAGTAGAAGCAAGTGGACGAAAACATACAACTACTTCTTTCAAATGGGGGTCATGCTACACACACAAACACACACACACACACACAACTAATTACTATACAAAATAAAGGCATCCCAAGTGAGCGCTGAGAACAGAACACACATAAAATATAATAATTATATTAATATATTAAGGGTATTTTCAAAACTTAAACAAAACAAAAACAAACAAAAAATATTTTAGTTATTGTTGGAAGCGCGCCTAAGCGATAGAGCGAAAGCAAAATTAAAATATGTACAACACAACAAAAATATGTATTTGCAAAGCGATTAAAGCACGTTTCCACCACACAAAAAAAGAAAAAAAAGCCCGTTTCCACTGACATCAAATTACCGAAGTCCCTTGTTTTGCCTCCCACAAAAACTACATACAAAACATTACATATATATACTATATATACAAATCCATAGTTTTACAGTTTTCCCAAATATATGTATGTACATTGTGAATGAATGCATATTCAAAGTGATGGACGACGACGACAAACACTCCAGAAAAAGTCATTGCCAGTTGTGTGCGCGGGAGCAGCAACCATTTGATGAGAGCGTGTTAAATATATTTTTAGCATTAGCATTACTTTTTCCCTCCCCGAACTGAGCATTACATAGAAGGCCTATGTATAGAAGAAGGCAGACGCTCGGCTCCCCAAACAACGTCTAAAACTTGATTTTTGTCGCCCGCCCCGAAACCCCAAACTTGGATCTACATATATATATTCATAAAACGTTTTTTGGATGAAATCACACGAATGATGCAACACGATAAATTGTACCAAAATTGTTGAAAACATTTTTTATAATTTGTAAACTATTTTTTTAGACTATCATACATACATTAAAAAAGAACTGTAAAAATAAAACTCATTCATATCGTAAGGGATTTATTTCTGGCTTGCATAACTCATGCTACCCCGGCACGCACACACACACATATCTATATTTACATCTCGGTGTGCGGTTATTGGATGTGTGTGCATGTGTGCGTATGCTCAACCTTATGCCTAGCAACGCCTTTTGTACTGGAGAGGGGGCGAGCGGCTTGGTCTGCAGCAAGAAGAAGCAATGGCACGCGGCAGACAAAAAAAAACTTGTTGACATTGAAATTTTCGGCTTAAGCTGTGCGCAGCTGCTTGCAAGTTTGAAGAACTTTGTATTTAAACTCAGTTAAATTTAATGGCAATTGCGTTGTTGTTCATTTCAATGGCAATTTTAACTGTACAAAAGTCAAACATTTGCAAGTTATCAGGAAAATGTGTACATAACGACATAATAAAGTGAGCAAAAATGCAAAGGTGAAAACTTTATTTGCGCACACCATACATACATACAAATAATTGTATGTATAAGCATGTGCATGTGTGTGTCGGGCGTTTTGTTTTTATTCTAACACTATGATTCGCCGTTAATCACGTTCGTTTCATTACAAAATACACGGTTTTTAAATATTTCCGAAGATTCCAGCAAATATTAATGCGGTTAGTGCTTATCAAATAGTGCAAGGCCATAAAAAAAATAACCGCAACAGAAAGCTGTCATGTTTAGTTAATCACACGACTATGAAATAGCTTCAAGCAATTTAAACAAAATGCTGTTTCATTGTTTACATAGCTTAACATACTTGTGGTTTTTTAATAAGCAAAACGACTTCCCCTTTTATTAAATTAAAAAGTTGCCGCTTATTTCGATGACGATTATCGGCAACCAATCATCGCTATCGATATTTGCGGCACAGAGTTGCCACTGTGTATTTTGGCGCGCTGGCAACGCTACAAAATTTTACGTGGCTTGGACGGACGAAAAACAATTCGTAGGCATTTTACTAATTATGTATATTTCAATGTAATATTTGTGAATGCAGCTCAAGCAAATTCAATACGCATAGTGCAAGTACACAAAAAGCAATAAATACAAAGAGCCGTATGAACTGTAAGTAGCTCTTTAATATAAAATCTTGGCGGGGGTTTATATGCAGTTACAAGAGCCAGTGCCCGCTGCGCTGCAACAGGAGTTCCTGGAATCAACAAAACAACCCTTTCACTTTTCAATTGCAATTCGGAGTTGCACCCACGTAGCTTTTTTTCAAGTGCATTAAAAGGCATCAAATCCTACGCAGCTGATTTACAGTTTGTTATTCAATTGTTGCCATTTTGCAAGACAAAACAACTGAAAAGCACAACAGAAACAGAAATTGTTTGGCTCTTTAATAATATGCATGCATTCATACACACACACACGTACAAGTGTGTGGGCGCTAAAAATAAATTGTTTTGGCATTTTTGTTTTGAAAGAAAAATAAAACGGTAAACGAAAGTGATACAACAATGTTTGTGGTTTTTGTGTACGTCAACAAAAATTGCTTACATAAACACAGTGAAAGAGAACCAAAAAATAAATAAAAAGAAGAAAACAAACAAACAAACCGCGTCTTATGCTTTGCCAAATAACAAAGACACACATACATGCTAAGAATTCCCCGCGCCCGCACTGAGCTGTCATCTTCTTGCGTTAACAGCTGTTTGCCAATTGGTCCCAGCAGCTGTCTCTTGTTCTTTCTTGTCAACGTCGTCGCTCTGTCTGCAGCGATTGCAGTAACGGTTATTTCGCATTCGAATGAAACTGCGGGCGCTTCCCCTCTCACTCTCCCTCTTACTCAACTTCTGCAGCGATTACGGCAGCGGGTATTTCGCATTATTATTAAACCTCGAGCTCGATCAACTGATGAAATACTCTTCCGTTTTTCATAGAGGGTCTTCGCAGCACTACACTAACGTTCTTTTCGCACTCGAATGAAATTGCTGGCGCTTCCTTCTGTTCTCTCCCTCCCACTCAACAACTCTGCATGCAAGCAAGTTTCTGCACGCATTTCATCATTCCTTTAACAGCGTTTCGTCAGCAATTTGTATAAAAGCGCAGCCGTTCGCGTTGCTCCTCTTATTTCATCAGCGAAATGCAAACACAGCGCACATCGTTCCAAACTCAACTAAGGCAAATGGGCGTGGGATAGGTTAGGAAGAAAATTAATAACTGTTCATAGCTAAAGATAAATATTTACTAAATCGTTATACTGTCTCACTCGATCTTGCAGAACCATCTTGAACTTGCACACACACAAACATACACAGTCGGGCAATGATTCCAAGGATATAGAGTACGCCAAGCTTAGTTAGACACCCAATCATGAACAATATACAGAGTGCAACAGCGCCGCCCATTAATGTGGGCGTTGGCATCAAGAGCGCACGCAGCAATATCTTCACCGTGGACGGTCTGCCCACACAGCAGTTGCAGGAGCTGAGCATCGACTACTCGAGCATACGGGCCAAGGATGTGCTCGTCGAGCCGACAGAGTCGCAGCTGCAGCTGCTCAAGCGACGTCTGCTCGATCGCATCGCGGACAGCTGCGGCGAGACCATCTACGAAATAGGCGTGGGCGAAGGTGAGTTTAACCCTTTACATATATTAGCTCCGATCTAATGCTGATCATCATCACATCCATTCACAGATGGTCAGGATAGCGGCCTGAACGCGGAGCAGTTTGAGGCCTCGGTGCAGACGCTGCGTCAGCTGGCCTCAGCCATAGATGCGGATCTGGTTAGCCTGCGCGAACGGCCTGCGGAGAAGGGCAAAACGGCGCAGTTTCTCATACGCAAGCATATCGACACGACGGACTTTATGGAGATTCGCGTTGCGGTCGTGGGCAATGTGGATGCTGGCAAATCCACGCTGTTGGGCGTTCTGACACACGGTGAACTGGACAATGGGCGTGGTCATGCGCGACAGCGACTGTTCCGGCACAAGCACGAGATCGAAAGCGGGCGCACCAGCTCCGTGGGCAATGACATACTCGGCTTTGATGGCGTCGGCAATGTGGTCAATAAACCAGATCATGGCCATCTGGACTGGGTAAAGATATGCGAGAAGTCCTCAAAGGTCATTACCTTCATAGATCTGGCGGGGCACGAGCGTTACCTGAAGACCACAGTGTTTGGCATGACGGGGCATGCGCCAGACTTTGGCATGCTGATGGTGGGTATATGTTATGTATATATGCATATATTAAACTCCCGAATCGCTTAGATCGGCGCCAATGCGGGCATTATTGGCATGACCAAGGAGCATCTGGGCCTCGCACTGGCCCTGGCCGTACCTGTCTTTGTTGTCGTCACCAAGATCGACATGTGCCCGCCGAATGTGCTGCAGGATAATATGAAGCTGCTCTTTAAGATGCTCAAATCGCAGGGCTGCCGCAAGGTGCCGGTGGTGGTGCGCAGCCAGGACGATGTGGTGCTGAGTGCCACGAATTTTGTCAGCGAACGCCTGTGCCCCATCTTTCAGGTGTCCAATGTAAATGGCGACAATCTGGAGCTGCTAAAAATGTTCCTCAATCTGCTGAGCACACGCATGGCCGGCTCCGAGAATCTGCCAGCAGAGTTCCAAATCGACGATGTCTACTCGGTGCCGGGCGTCGGCACCGTCGTCTCCGGCACCTGTCTGCAGGGCACCATCAAGCTGAACGATGTGCTCATGCTGGGCCCCAATGCGGTGGGCACCTTTGTGCCCATCACCATCAAGAGCATCCATCGCAAGCGCATGAATGTGGAGCGTGTGCGCTGCGGACAGACGGCCAGCTTTGCGCTGAAGAAGATAAAGCGCGCGTATTTGCGCAAGGGCATGGTCATGGTATCGCCGGAGCTGAAGCCGCAGGCATGCTGGGAATTCGAGGGCGAAATCCTGGTGCTGCATCATCCCACAACGATCTCGGCCCGCTACCAGGCCATGGTGCACTGCGGCAGCATACGCCAAACGGCATCGATTGTGCGCATGTCCTGCGATTGCCTGCGCACCGGCGACAAGGCGCGCGTCAAGTTCCGCTTCATCAAGCAGCCGGAGTACATACGCGCCGGCCAGCGTCTCGTCTTTCGCGAGGGCCGCACCAAGGCCGTGGGCAACATACTCCAGCCCATGCCGCATGCGGCCGCCTCGCCATACCGGCCCAAGCCGGCCAAGATGCAGTCGCGCGCCCACAACGGCACCGGCAGCAACAGCAGCCACAATCAGCAACGTCACAACGGGCAGGGCTCCTCCTCGTCGGGCGCGGCGGCCGGCTGCAGCAAGGATGGCGGCGAGCAGAACGGCGAGCGGCGCGAGGGAAGTCGGCGCGGCGGCAAGCGGAAACGCAACAATCGCACGCAGCTGACCGGCTCCGCGGCGCCACTGAATGGCAGCAGCGGCTCCCATGCGGAGACATTGCCGGAGCCAACACAAAACTAGAAACCATATTTTAATCGACAACTGTTTTAAAAGAAAAAAAAAAGAAAGAACGTATTTTGTATACAAAATTCGCTAGTTATTAAGCTCCAAAGTATTTTGGCGAAAAGGTTGTGCGACATGTGCGCGGCCGTGTTGATATTTGAGAGAAAATGAGAATTGTCTGAGAAAAAGAGAGTGAAACTATTTTACTACAGGTAACACGCGGTAAGACGACTTTGTATGCTGTGTGAAATTGTGTGTAAATTTGCTAATAAATGTCTAATTTTTGTTTTCGTCCAATGTAAAGATTTAGCTCCAACAATTTAGTTAAACTAAGCGTTAAAAAAAAAAACAATTTGCCAAATTCAACTTATTTACTTTTTAAGATTTATACACTGCGAAAAAAATTATTGATTTTGTGCACTTTCATTTGGCTAATTAGTTTTCTTTTGTAACATACAATTACGTTGAAACGTACTTGAATTGCATAATAAATTTACAGTTTGACAAACTTTAAAAATAACGCAAAATTTGTAGAAAGAAGACCTAAAGTTAAGAGCAACTAATATCCTGCAAGAATTACGCTTGCAAGTCGTAAGGCAGTTGGCAACGCGATGCGGCGAGCAGTCAGTGTTGTAAAATGCTGCCACATTTAAATTGGGTATCATGCCAGCATTGTTCAAATAAGTTTCGTTTGCTCTCAAAATTTTGTTTATGTTCCTGAAGTGCTAGCCTATATATATATATATATAAATCGTAATGTACAATAATTTAGTTATTTTTCTTATTCTTCAGCTCCCTTTTGACGCCCTCCAGCTCCTGCCGTATATTGTTTTTAAACATGTTCACAAAGGACCTGGAAAATGGGGAACGTCAGATTATTGTGTGCATTTCTGTTTTGCTTTTGGTAGACCCACTTAAAGCGCTCTGGCGTCATCTCGTGCAGGCCCTGCTCCCTGGCCAGGCTCTTGGAGCGATACATCAGCGAGACAACCAACTGGGCAGCGCGACGCATCGGATAGCTGTCGGCCATGCGCTGTATTAGCTGCTCATTGTTGGCCAAATAGCGCATCAGCAGTCGCAGCACCATCCTGTGAGTGTGTGTGTGCGTGCGTTGGTGTGTATCCTAGAACTCCGTATCCTTGTATTTGCGTATGAGCTGCTGCTTCAGCTTGAGCTGATTGCGCAACAGTTCCAGGCGCTGCAGTTGCTCCTCCTTGTTGTAATCGATGCCCGGCAGCTGTTTTATTTGCTCGCGCGCCGAATCGAAGCGCTTTTGCAGCTCAAAGATCTGCAAAATTTTGCACATAAAGAGAGCTCCAAGATGGGTATTTAGTTGTTGCTTACCTTGTGATTGCAGTCCTGTGACTCGCGCAGCTTCACAGCGTTCTCGAGGGGATCCTTCTCCACGCTGCAGGTCAAGAGAAAAATATTTTTTGTTATATAAGTTAGTTTAAAACAAATAAATTTTGTTAGCTGCGCAGTTGACGCTGCATATTCCATCAGAATTTATATTTTTTGGCAACAAAACAGTTGGTTGCACCCACACGCACACACACACACACACACACGCACGTGTCAACAAACTTACCAGCGCACAATGTCGTAGATGATCGGCAAAATTTCGATGTCAAGCTGGTCAACTGTCAGCGGGCCGCCGATGCCGATGCCGTTCGATGTTTGCGTCTCCTGTGAAACGGTTGTTGTTGTTGCCGCTGATGCTGTTGCGGCTGCTGCTGCTGTTGTTGTCGTTGTTGTTGCTGTGGGCTCAAATGGTGAATTTGATGTTTGCACCAGGCCGTCAGCAGTAAGTGTTGGTTTTCTGTCCTCAATTTGATTAATGGGCGATAATTCCATTATATTTCTTATAATTTAGCGTTTTTGTAAACGCGTTTTGCTCTGTTGTTGTTTTGGTGTGCGAGCAGTTGCTGTTAATGTTATCGATATGTTTAGTGGCTATCGCAATTTTAATCGCAGCAGTGCTGTAAGGCGCGCGTGCATAAATGACTGTGTGCGCGCGATGTTCAAAAAATGTTAATGAATTCAATTGAGCTGTAACACAATCGGAGCTAATTTTTACATTTACCATTTACTTGTGTTCCATTAAACTTTTAACATATATATGCTCTATTAGAACGTTCGATATTTGATTAAGCCCAACACGTGTTTACATTACCTAATTTATTCAGTTAATTGTCAAAGGCAAAATGATGAATGGCCAAATAAAAGGCCCGAATTGTGCTAATTATTATTAATTTAGCAAGAAATTTATTTGACGGCCGCTAATTGAAGCCACTAAAAATTGTACATGGCAAATTAATTAAGACCAAAGTCGTCAAAACATTTTCAAACCGTGGGTACATCAAAGATACGCCTTTCTGATCTATATCTATATGTGTGAACATACAATTTTTATTACAACGAATTGCGTCTTTGACTTTCATTGTGCAAATAAATTAATTTCACTTGAAACCTTGCTATTGAAGGCAATTCAAAAACAATTGAAAAATATTTAATTCGACTTCGCTCATTGCCATCAATTGAAGGAATGTGCAAAGAGAGCTGAAAAAAATATAACTTCAGACTGATAAAACCTAATTTTATTTTATTTTTTGCAGTATATATTGATTGACCGACAGATCAGAGCAGAAATTTGGCGACTTTTCAATATTGCCTTTGTCAATTAAATTTTCAATTAACACGAGTCGGCACAGCTTATGAATGAACAGAGCCCCGAAAATATACACAAAAAATGTCACAGCACGCCAATAATAATGTGAATTAATTCAATACACTCAAATTGTAGAACGTTAATATTTCCCTATTTGTGTTATACAAATCTCACTAACAGTAGTTTTTGATGTAGATATATACCGTTAGGCTTTTGTTGATTTAAAGGCACAGCCAACGTAACGTCTGATCGCCGCCATATTTAGGCCAACAAGAACTTGCGCATCATTTGGATATTCGCACGCAAATTGCAAGCACCACCCCTAACTCTCCCCGCCCACTTATATGCATTTTGACATATAAATAACAAATTTGTTGCTGTTGCTTTTACAGAGAACAACGTCAATGCTCCCCAACACAAAAAGCGCTTGGTGACAGGTGCAGCGGTCGCCGCTCTTTTGGTTGATGCTCTTAAGCGCAACAGATTCTCAACTGTTGCGCCTCTTTGTTGTTATTAAGCATTCTTGCTATAATTCGCAAGTCAGGCCCCAATAAATGTTGTTTTTTTTTGGCACGCTAAGATAGCTGGGCAGGCGAGGTCTGCTTCTTCTTCCAAGTGCGTGGCGATAACAGTTTCCTTTGCTTTTTTTTTCTGCAGCATTCCGTAGGCATTTGCATATGCCCATGCGTGTGTGGGTGTGTGCGTGTGCAAAGAGCCCCATGCTCTTACAACAGCGAGCGCGAAAGAGAGCGCCCGAATCGTCCAGTCAGCTGGTAAGCGCAGAGCATGAGCTAAAATTTATATTAGCGGGTGACGTGCGCTCACCAAAATCAGTACGTTTGCTTCCATCGGCTAAAACACAAGTTTTGTGCGAGTCTAAGTAATCAAAACAACAACAGCAACAACGAGCTTAATAAGCGGTCAAGCTATAACAACATCGATAATAACAACAACAATCAACAACAGCAGCAATAACACGTCGGCGCTTTTTGTTTATCAAAAAGAAAAAGTTTAATTAGCGCGCGTAGCGACGACGCCGCCGCAGCCCAAAACACAGTGTTTGCGCTTTTTCGAAGGCTCTCCCAATTTTCCTTTGCCAATTTTATTACGTGTGCGTGCCGAAATACGTCATCGACGCGCGCAGCAAAAGTGCGAACAGCAACAAAAACAACAACAACAGGAACGAACGGCAGCCATTGAAAGCTTCTGAGTGGGCAGTTCACAAACACACATCGATACAACAGTGCGAACATACAAGCATATACATAAAAGCCTATTGAATTGAATTCAATTGCAAGTACAACGCGCGCAATCAACATAAATCGAGGAAAATTTCGCTCTGTTTGAAATAATTAATTTGTTATTGTGTCGCGAGCAACGGCATTCACAGTGAAAAGCAACAGCCGCCGTCCAGTTGGCCAGAGTCAAACGCGCAACACGTGTGTGCGAGCGAGATAACTGCACTGTTTCCGTATTGTGAGCGTAGTAGCGGGTGCAAGTGAAATAAGGCGTTTGATAAAAAAAAACCAAAGCACAAAGAAATAAAAAAAAAAGAGTACGGCTGTAAACCAAAATAAGAGCAGATAAGAAAACGTGCAAAACAGCTGAGCAGTGCAGCAGCAGCAGCAACAACAACAACGATAGAAATCAAACGCAGCGCGCGCACTTTGTGTTCAATTGGTAAAGTAGTAAACCAAACGTCAGCGTCGGCAGCGCAGTCGCAGCAGCATCCCCACACACAATAAGCGACAATCAATTTGATCAACAATCAGCCAAAGCGGCAGAAGCAGCAGCAGCCGTCGCCGCAGTCGCAGTCGCAATCTCTCATCGTCCCGTGTCCGTCGTAATCACAAGTTGGGTTTTTTTTTCCTTCTTCTTTTTTTTTCTCTGCTGATCATCATTGTCGTCGTCGTCGTCGGCTCGCGCTCGGTTTTGCGTTGAGGCTTGTGTTGAATTCGGGAACTGAAACTGAAACTGTATCTGTAGTTTCCCGCTAACGGCGAATATTCTCACAACTCATTGATATTTTAACCTCGTGTCCGTGTTGGTTGCCGCTCGACCAAGGTTCTGGCCACACAAAATGCTCGTCTCTTTGGGCTTTTCGAAGCCTCGCTTCGTCGGATTAAAAGTGCTCCTATAGCGCGAAAATCAAAAAAATAAACCGGCAAATAAATATATTTAAAAAAAAAAAAAGTATTTAAATTGGCAGCAAGCAAAATACGTATATGTAACAGTTAATGAACCTCAAAATATAAATCGCAGATATTTGAAAATCGCGCGCAAACAAAAACCGCTCGATGCAAACATAAAATTTTCGATTAAACAAATATATTATGCAAATTTGAATAATTAGCGCTGCAGTTCGAAAACCCGTTTCGAAATACGAAAAGAAAAAAAAAGCGTGTGTAAAACCTAAAAAAAAGGCTCTAATTAAATACCTAATACAAGCAAATAATATATAACAGTTTACGCATACCAACATAAACTAATATACGAAACACATGCAAACCTGAATAAGGCTTTCAAAAACTTTATCAGTTCGAGCACCAATACCAGCAAGCAGTTTCCAACACACACAGAGAAAGACTTTTATAAATAACACGCATACAACGACAGTAGCTGTTACTCTCTCGTCTATGTGAGCAGCGATTAAACTTGAAGCAGCGGCAGCAGAAAAAAACAAAAAATCAAAAAAGAAATATTAGCAAAGCTTTGCAGCGATTTTTACACTCAGCAGCTAAACAGAGTAAATCTGTAACGCGTCTGGAATAGTTGTGTCTCACGGTGTCTCAGCAAAAGCTAAAAAAATATTGAATATATATACTTTATATATATATAAAATTTATAAAAAGTATCTGAGCTAATAGTGTTTTCTAAAAGTGTGAAATAGTGTTGTTAAACGTTGTGCGTAAAGCCACAAATCGAATGCAACTGTTTATTGCTAAATTTATCAAAAACTCTGTCTCATTGTCAAACTAACTGTTATAATGTGCGCCTTCTGACAGTGTCAAACTAACTAAAAACAAAAATAATACAAAAACCTTACATAAGCGCCAAGAATCGTTTGGTCAAGTAAAAAAATCAAAATATATAAGTGAAGTCATACAAGTGCCAAAAACATTTGCTTTGCCGCATAATTAGAATGTCAAATATCTGACAGAGTGCCACACAATAATTAAAGCTCACTTTAAACAAATAGACAAGCAGCAAAAGCTTTAATAACAGTTAATTCACGCAAAGCATTCAACACATAAGCTCGCTAGAATGTCAGCAGAAATCTGACAGCGGTTTAACAAACCAAAAGGACAAAACACAAAATCAACACAAAAGGCGAATTTGAGGAGAAACGTACGCGTTTCGAAATCTGAAAAAGGAGGAAAGTTGTAGAGAAGAAGAAGAAGAAGACCACAGCGACTATCAACTGTGAACTGTTGTGCTGCATTGCTCCCGCCCCCCCAACGTACAGAAACTTAACGATAAATGGAGAAATCTGAAATACGACTGCAACGCATGTCAAATGTATATCAATCGCAATCGAGCTATATGTATTTGCGTAACAAAATGCTGTTAAAAATTGAAAACACCCTACTACGTAGCCATCGTCAGCGTGAAACAACCGGGATCAAGAAACTGTATAATTCGTTTTTTGTGCTCTTCTAATTGCATCAGCAAGTTCTTAACGCCCGAAGAACGCACAACGAATTTTTGATCAATTCAAAGCATAAATAGTTACAAAACAAATTGTTTAAAACAAACAAAAAAACAAAACTATAGATATTATTTGGTTGTTAGTTGTATACAAAATCCAAGTGCTGTGCTAAGAGAAAACAAAAAAAAAAAACTAGTGTCATTTTTTTTCTTCTTTGTTGTCATAAACATTTAAAACAAAATGTTGACCTAAATAAAATACAATAAAAAACATTTTCAAAACCCACAACAATTCCCTTCTACTTCGAATAATTATTGTTTGTTGCTTACAACAAAAACACACCCGAAAATATACAAAATATAATTCATAAGGACTTGACAAAATTGCACGCGAAAGCTCGAGGGCTACACCCTAGAAAACACCGTGTTTCTTAAGAAATAGACGTGCGTACTAACGGTATTTGTGGACATAACCAGCAAAAAAACAATAATAAAAAAACAACAATAATAGAAATTAATAAAAACAACCTTTCGTGAGCATTGTGAAGGGTATCGAAAAGAATTGAAAAGGTAATTTATTTTTAAACCGGATGGCGCTTTCGTTTCTATCTGTAAATTCCGGCCTCTTGGATATACAAAGCATATTTGATCCACAATATTTACAACAACAACAACAACAGCAGCAGCAGCAACAATTGCAACTTCATTTACCAACACAAGAGCAACAACAACAACAACAACAAGAGCAACAAACTTCACGCACATCAACGAAATTTGATCTGAACATTTTCAACGATTTCGACCAAATGGAATTCAATAACAACAATTTGAATCGAAACCATAATCAGTATCCGAATAATAATAATAATAATAACAGTAATAATTGTAGCATCAATAACAATAACAACAACCACAATACCAACAACAACAACAACGTTAATACGCATCAGACTAACGGTGAAAATCTTAACCAGGTAAGTTATAAAACTTTGAGAACTCGTAATACTTATATGTATAAGACGGCTGTGGTTGATAAAAAGGCTCAGAAAGTTGAGGCATTTGATATGATTATAAAATTCTTTATTAGACTTGAAATTCATTGTGCATTAGATTAGAACCTAATGAAATTGGCCTTAAGAACTCATCAAATTTAATCATAGTATATAAATTCATATATATTCTATACTATTGATACACATATTCATTCGCGTTTCATTTGTTGTAAGGAAAAATGGATTCACCAGAAATTTGATTTTTATGTTAACAAGAGTAAGTTCTTTAACAATTCCTTTTGTAATTTTTAGAAGGTTCCAATCTTCTTCTAATTGTGCTTAACTTTATAAACTAAGAGGAATTTCTTTGGGCTTTAAATTAAAAAAGAAAATCATAGTGAACTTCTCACATCTAAGTTTCATATGCCTTCAATCAAAAGTATTAGGTACAAATAAAGGATTTTATTCCTATTATTTTCCAAAACTATCGAATATATACCGAAAATATAGGCACAAATAAATGATTTATTTATTCAAACCATAAAACATAAAGTTTGTTCAAATATTGGGAGTATCCCTAAAAAAATTATATATCTAAAAGATTTTGCCTGCTTCTTGGTGCTAAAAAAAAAACTATATACAAATGTATACAAAATTCGGCATAAAATTCAAGGTCCTAGAAGTGTCACTTCATCAAATTTGCATGAGTTCTCTATTTATTTGATTACATATTTCATTATGTCTTTGTTGTGCCACCCTTAATTGGAACTTATGTATATACAAACGGTGTATGTGTGTGCGCTGTGTGTGTGCGTGTGTCTGTGTGTAAATACATCAAATTAGAATAGAATTGGTATCAAATAACAAATTGACTGGCACAGACAGGTAAATAGACAAACAAATGCATACAGCAACATTGAATGCGAATGTTACGTAACTTAGTTAACTTGTCAGACTTTGGATAGCCTCTAACTAGCGGTTAGTACACGGGCTAACACGTGCCATGCGCTTTCACGCATATTCCACACGTGCTTCCATTTCCTTTCGTAAATATACGCTCTAACTATAATAATCCTGAAGGAACGAAGATATCAGAAAATCAGTTTAAAGTCAATCGGATAGAACATTTTTATTTTATTTATTTATGTATTAACAAATAATAATAAATAAATTGCCATACTCTTCCACCCATATTCCGCACGTGCTGTCTTCTTTCCGTGAATGTTTCACTATCAATATATTAATCCTAAAGTGAAATACATTTTATGAATGATGATGAATTTAAAGTGAATATCTTGGTTAAAATCTACAGTTATTCAATCATTTGCCGTCATATTCTTTGAACCATTATATATTTATAAGTTTGAAATCTAACGCTCGACTCTCGTTTCCCCCTGAAGCTTAGACTATCTCCAAAAATATAAGGCACTTCTTCAATTAACTTTAAATAAGATTTCTTCAACCGAGCTTTAAAATGAGCACATAAAATAATACTTAGCTTTAACAGGTTAAGCTGCGCGTTGGTATAGCAAGCATTCAGTCAGTCGGTCATACAATCAATCAGTCAATCAGTCGGCACAAACAGTTTTTATATGCATAGATAAAGAGGAAGTAAAAAATATCTACAAGCTGACGACTTTCTTATTCGCCGCTTATCGAATCTTCCATTTACGAAACACATTCGACAGGTCGCCTCTTGTGGCTATTATTTACACTGTACGCTTATCTTTTGAGAACGCAATAAAACGAACTGAAACTCACACACACACACACACACACACACACAGAGACACAAACAACACAGATACAAAACGCGGCGGCGTAAACAAATGAAATCTCAAGCACTCAATCCGTAAATATATATGTATGTATATATAGAGCGATTTGCAATCAATCGATTCTAGAAAAGTGTGACTTTCCGATTTTCTTAACTCTCACTTAAAAAAGATGAAAAAAATAAGCATATGTACAGTGTACACACGCACACACACACAGCTGCAACAATTGAGCATTTGTTAGGCACAACAAAACGCTCAAGTCCACTTTAGTAGAACATTTATTATCAGCAAGGTTTAGGACCTGAGCGATAATGCGCCTGGCTGCCTCGGCTGGCAATGCCTCGACTCTCTGATTGAACAAAATGCTAGACGATTTCGAAAAAAAAGAAACACGTTCAGTTTTCGAAAAGTTAATCGTAGGCCGAGTACTTGAAAAGTTGCCCAGCGACTGCGAGCTGATAGTTAAATTATGCGAAATTGAAATCTTTCCTAATCCCAAATGTTTATTCTCTTGAAATTTTCTTATAGATCCAAAATAGTCATTTTATTAGCGGCTATCATCATCAGCACATTGGATCGGATTATGAGCCAGTGATTAACTTTGTTGATTCACCGCCGAATTCTGAGGAGTCTTGGACAGGTAAGAGAGAATTTTGTATAGACAGATAGCGTCGATATATATTCAAACTCAACGTGAGACTCATCGCATCCATCAAAAGCAACACAATCGCAATCGCATTCGCAATCGCATTCGTTAATTGGCTAATCGATACGTTTCGATTCGATTTCGGTTCGTATTACTGCAGACGCACAGTCCAAGGATTCACCAGGACCCCAAATTATCGACGTGAGGACAATTTACTCAGACAGCGGCTCGCGCAAAAGACGAATGGATTGGTACTCATTGGACATCGGTCAAAGTGAAAATTCACCGACAACACAATCCGGCGACATACCCAATAAGGTGGCACATCAGGAGAAGGATAAGCACAAACGCGAAAAGCATTCAGGTGAGAAGCACGAGATCAACTATTTCAGTTCTTAAAAGTTAAAGCTACAAGCAAAATTTAAATAAATATAATTTGTTTAAAGCTTGGAAGTCATGAGTTAAGACCGTATTTCGCTTAGCTCTTTGTTCTTGGCAATAGTTATGGGCAAACTATCAGCCCTTCCGTAGTAGTTTCCGTAGTTTCTGTTCAAATTCTTTGGCCTATGGCATTATCTAAAAAAAGAGAAAATTAACAACAATTGAAAACCAGTTTCCGGTACTGCGATCTGGCGGCGATCTTAATTAGCGGGCGTTTATACTCATGGATATCAATAAGAATGAAGTTCTCTCGATCTCGGCCATCTATGTAGAGCCTATTGCTACGGGCCTCTCAAATCTTGACCATCTTTTAATGTGTCATGCACTTATAGCCAAGGCGAATGTGCTAATTGTTTAACAAACAGAATATGATATTTGCTAATTAATCGATATCTATATGAAATATACGAGTTCTCACTTGGCTGTCTGTCTGTGTCTGTGAACGTCATAAAATTGATTTTTATTGCCCATATCGTGAGCTAACATTTAAAATTTAATTTAGTTTGTTGTGTAGCGTACCCATAAAGTCAAAAAATGTATGAGAAACTTATTTAAAAGTTCGGAAAAAACAAAAAAAAGTTGGTAGTGTAATATTCAATTTATGGAGGCTTAGAAATACCAAACAAAAATTTGCATTTGTATTCTAGAGCTCATAAATTAAAGTTGATAGAAACGATAAAGTACGAAGTTCTTCCGTTCTTCCGCATGCCGAAGATTTAATACCCTTGTATAAAGTTGACTTACGCCTTTGCAGATATGCGATCTTGATAAGATTTGTCTTATATAGAAGCAGACTAGCTTAAAGATTCAGTTTGTTTTATTGTGCTCTGGAATCGATCAGTAACCTCTGATCTGTAGTTACAACGTTTTGTAGCTTATAAGCTATTTACATTGAGAGTTATTTACAATGAGGACATACTGTAGGGTGCTTAGATGAGGTAAGTAGCAGGAGTGTAACCTTTGGAGGCGCCTCTCTGTGATGCTGGAAAAGTTGATCTGATCTCTGACCTTTGTTAGGCGGAGATGGCGTTCGATGGCGCCTTTTGAGATATAAGACTAAGAAACTAATTCGCATTTAAGCAGACAGACGGACAGACAGACATGGCTTTATCAATTCGGCTGTTCATGCTAATTTAGAATATATATATATACTTTATGAGGCCAGAGATGTCTCGTTCTATGCGTTACACATTTCATGATATCATTTTAATATCCTCTGCAAGGGTATAAAAACTATAGCATGGTAAAATTAAATCTGATATACATATACTAAGATATTTTTATATTTATACTAGTTATTATAATTTAGTATTTAGTCATGTAAATAATATAATAATATAATATAATAATACAATAAAATGACAATAATAATAATAATAATAATAATATAAATAATAATAATTATAATCGTTGGAAGCTGAGAAAGATAATTATATTGCAAGCTTAGAGATGGAAAATACTTTCTTAATACTTTCAAATTCCAAAAATTCCTTCGCAACTTTTAAGTATAGATTAAAGATCTCTGGAAATATTCTTTTTTATAATGTGAAATAAAAACTGTAATTAACTTAACACATATGTGCAAGACATGGCGTTAAATGCCTTAAAGCTGTAAGAATAGAACAAGCTGCTGCTCAATAATTAAGTCTATAATTTTATAGCTTTAAAGAACTTATAT